GGATGCGGAACGTTGCTTGGGCTGGGCCTTCGCTCGCTTGGGTGTCTACTGGCATGTTGTCAGGAGGCTGGATGTTCGTGTGCAGGTCGGATGTGTGGCCCAGGGGTTCCCGGGGTAGGTGCACTGGAAGAAACAGGGCACAAAGGAATTGAGAGTGCTACATGCAGAGAGTGGTGGCTGGGAACCTAGGACAAAGTTCTGCAACCAGCAACCGGAGGGCTGGAGAGGAGGAATCCCTCCTACTTACCAAGCACCTGCCTTGTGCTAAAGGCACTTTACCTCTTACATCTCATCACGAGAGCCACGCTTGTAAGTGGGGCCTGTCACAGCCATCTGTTAGATGGGGAAAGTACAGTTCGGAGACCTTATGCACCTTACCCAAGTCACACAGCTGGTGAGAGTCAGAGTCGAGACCTGAACTCTGGTTTTCCTGAGTCTGTATCATCAGGCCCTTTGCTCACCTTCTGATGCTGAGGCTTTGGGGGCTCGGAGGGGGAAGTTAGCACTTCTGACTCAGCAATGGCTGCCCTTAAGTTCTTTTTTCAAATCGAAATGTTATGGAGATAATTGTAGATGCACATGCAGTTGGAAGAAACAATACAAAGAGATCCTGTATTTTCCCCAAAGTAACATCTTGCAAAATGAATGCATGCTATCACAAAGGACATGGACCCTGGTATGGTTCACCCATCTGCTTCCGATTTCCCCAGTTTTACTTGTATTCGTGTGTGTGTGTGTGTCTGTGTGTGTGTATTTAGTGAGCTACAATTTTATCACGTGTGTCGCTCGTTAACTTCCTTTTAGAGAGTCTATTTTTCTCTCCCTGTAACACTTCCCATTGCTCCCCTCCCCTTTTGAGGCCACTGCCTTCATGGTGTACCTCACTAATCCTCGGGGGGATGTGGTGGGTGCGGACCCCAGTTGGCATGTTTGGAAATGTCATGGGGGTGGTTTTTTGGTTGTCACAATGCCTGGGGCCAGGGAAATGATATGTCACACGCAGTGAAGAAATGTCTGGCTCCAGATGTCGATCATAACCCGGGTTCGGGGTAAAATAAGATTATTCCCATATTTTGAAGCACATCATGCATTCTAATGGGAAGTGGTTTTTTTTTTCTTTTTTTTTGACAGGAGGTGCATGCACTTTTGCGTTGACAAGTCGAGAAGGATTAGGTTGGATGTGAAGTGTGTTATTACTGCCACCTTGATATGCCCTTAAGGTGGGGTAAACTCAGGGAAGCGCACATTGTTGGAGATGATTCACAGCATGACTCATCCATAAAGAGGCACCGGAGGGAATGTGCTCTTCCAGGCAAGCCACTTCGGGGGAGATCTCCAAGGGAACAGTGCTCGGCAGTCACACGAGCACAGAAAGGCTTCTCCGCTCATCAGAGGAAATATGCCAGAGTCGCATTTCTCTGATTTAGGAACATAATACGATTCTTAATGAGCCTAATGCTCTTTTAAAAAATACGCTTTTTATTTTCAAGTAGTTTGAGATTTACAGAAGAGTTAGTTGCCCAGTTAGGACTGTGAACTCCTCCACACCCGGTTTCCCTTGCTACGAACGTCTCACATTCGGATGGCACATCTACCACGCTTAAGGAATCCATAGTGACACGTTATTATTAAACTAAGGCCCATTCTTTATTCAGATTTCCTTAGTTTTTACCGAATGTCCTTTTTATGTTCCAGGATCCCATGTGACATTTAGTTGTCTCGTCTCCTTAGGCTCCCCTTAGCTGGGACACCTTATAGGACTTTTTCACGATTGCAATATATTCCTATCCAGCCACATCGGCTGCCTCTCAACTCAGGTTCATGTCTCTGGCTTTTTGCCTCTCAAATGATGGATTCTAGAGCCCAGACGTCCCCTGAACTCCTGCCGGGTGTACGCGACAGCTCACCCAAGCACCTCTAACTCAGTTTGTTCAAAACCAAGTTCATTCTCATCTCCTCTAGGGCTAATTGTGGTCACTGGGGCGGCATCCCTCTTGAAAGCTGTGTCCCCGGGGGGCATCCCGATTTGTCCTGCTCCTTCATCTCCCGACTAGGAGCAGCTGGTCCCCATTTCTTCCCACCTCTGCTGAGTCTCCTGCCTGTCACCTCTTCTCTCCACCGCCAGGACCACTGCCATGGTTCTACCACCAGTCAAGCATTGCCTGGATTGGTGAATTGCTTTCTAATGCCCTGTTTCTAGTCTTTTTTCCTCTGGATCATTCTCTGTCCAGATACATTGGTTCCTCTGCTTTAAACACCCTTCAGTGGCCTCTGTGCCTGAGGATGCAGTCCTTGCTCCTGAGAACAGCACAAGGGGTGCTCTGGGTCAAGCTGCAGCTGTGCACCCTCCCGGCTCCTCCTCCCTCCCCTCCCTCCCTCGCCCTTGGCTCAGCAGCAAACTTGCCTGGGAGTCTCTTGCCTTGTTGTGTTTTCCTGGAAAATTCCCTCCATCCCCTCACCTTTCTACTCAAATCTGCAAACCCTGCTGGGGGTCATCCCTCCTCTGGAGAGCCCCCCTCTCCGACACCCTTGACAGAATTAACTCTTAGTTCCCCTCCGTTTTGTACTTACGTATCACACTATTTGTAATTAATTGATACAAAACCCACATTAGTTCAGCTCTGGCTGTCATTACAAAGGACCACAGACCGGGGGGCTTCAACAGAAATTTTTCTCACAGATCTGGAGGCCGGAAGTCTGAAATCAGTTTGGCAGAGTCAGTTTCTTCTGAGGTCTCTCTCCTTGACTTGTAGGGTGGAATCTCTGTGTCTCTTCACTTGGTCTTCCCACTGAGCCTGTCTGTGTCCACATTTCTACTTCTTATAAGGACATCAGTCATACCGGATTACAGCCCATCCTAATGGCCTTATCTAACTTGATTACTTTTTTTTTTTTTAAAGATTTTATTTATTTGACAGAGAGACACACAGCGAGAGAGGGAACACAAACAGGGGGAGTGGGAGAGGGAGAAGCAGGCCTTCCGCGCGGAGCAGGGAATCCGATGCCGGGCTTGATCCCAGGACCCTGGGATCATGACCCGAGCCGAAGGCAGATGCCTAACGACTGAGCCACCCAGGCGCCCCATAACTCGATTACTTCTTTAAAGGTCCCATCGCCAAACACAGTCACATTCTGATGTTAGGAATAACATCTGAAGGTTAGTTAGGACTTGAATATGTGAATGTTGGGGCGGGTGGGAGCCCAGTTCAGCCCATAACAGGCCCTTCCTTCTCTCCTCTTGCTTCCTACAAGCTCCTTCAGGCCCAGCTTCCTGGGAAGGCTAGCCTAGAAGCATCAAGAACTTTGGAGTCACATGGTCCAGGTCCAAACCCTGTCTCTTTTCCACTCCTTGGGAGAGGTATCATTCTGAACCTCAGGTTGCAGTCTTCATCTCCAGAGCGGGCCCAGTGACCTTGCTCTGTGGGGCTTGTGTGAGGATTAGAATCACTGGTCAGGTGTCTGGTGTGTGTGTCCCGTGGTCAGCACGCTGAGAGCCAGCATCACTATCTTCGAGCATTGCGGAACTTACTGTGATGAGGGAAATGTTGTATATTTGTGCTGTCCCATGTGGTAGCTGCTAAGCCACACATGTCTGTTGTGTATCTGAAATGTGGCTAGTGTGACTGAGGAACATTTAATTTTAATTAATTGAAATTGAAACTGAAGTAGCCACATGTGGCTAGTGGCTATAGCACTGGGCAATGCACCAGGGGCTCTGGGCCTGTCCCAGGGTGTTCCTGCATTAGGCCCTGATATGCCCTGTCCTGGCTGTGAGTCCATTTCCCTGGCCACGTCCCCATGCTAGATGGGTTCACTTGTTTTGCCTTTGGAAAGTGTCACCCCAAGTAGTGGGGGCCAGAGCATGCTGACCGGCAGGCAGGCCAGGGGCCACCCAGTCTCTAGCAGGAGCCCTCTGAAAGGGCAAGGGGACAGTCATGTAGCCCCCTAAGGATTTTCCCCTCTCGCCTGTATGGCAGCAAAAACAAGCGCACTCTCTCGTACCCTCCAGTGAAGGGCTCACCTACCCGGCTATCATCCGGCAGTCCTGGCTAGCACGCTGGGCCTCATCCCAGTCACCTGTGCCTCCTGCCTCCACCTACAGATCACTCCGCTCCTGAGTCCACTTCTCTATCTCTGGGGCCCCTCCCAATGACCCAGGGCAGCCATCTGCCCTGATTACTTCAAAGCCTGGATCACAGGCCCCAGCTTTGTGACTCAGCCCCGCCCGGGGTTAAAATTCCTCAAGGGCTTCCTGTTACATTCAGGACCAACCCCTTTATCAGGTTTACAAAGCCCTATCTGACCTGCCCGCCCCCAGGCTCATCTCTTCTCGTTATTTTCTTCCCTTTAGGCTACGACTTCCGTTTTTTTCCTGGACAGTTGTTCTTTCTTGCCTCCGGGACTTCGCCCAGTCTGGTCCTTCGTCCTGGAACACAATTCGCCAGTCAGGGATAACTCCTACTAGCCCTTTTCTTCTCTCAAGCGTCATTTCTCCAGAAACCCTTCCCAGATGGAATCGTGTATCCCTTGTTCTGATATCCCAGAGGCCAGTCCTTTCTTTTTTCTTTCATGCATTCATGGATCCATCCACTCCCAACTGTTTACTAAATGACAGACGCTGCTTTAGACGCTGGCGACACAATGCAGGGCAAGACAGGACGGTCCCGCGCCTCCTGGAGATCACTTACGTTCTTGAACTGGAAGACTGAAGATTTAAAAAAAAGTGAACACGGAGACAAAAAACACACACACAAATTGTGTCCTAGACAGAAAACAGACGCTAAGACCAGGGGCCAGGGGACCTGGGGGTGGCGGTTAGAGGCAGAGGGGCCCGAGATTGCCTCCATCTGCGGCTGCGCGCGCGGCCGGCAGGGGGCGCGGCGAAGCGGCGTGTGGGCCCGCTCCGGCCCCGGGCCCGCCCCCGCCCCAACAGGCCCCGCCCTCCAGACCCCGCCCCCGGCCCCGCCCCCCGGCCGCTGTGCGCGCGCTGGCCCGGCAGCATGGCGGCGGCGGCGGGCGCCCCTCCGCCGGGTCCGCCGCAGCCACCTCCGCCGCCGCCGCCTGAGGAGTCGTCGGACAGCGAGCCCGAGGCGGAGCCCGGCTCCCCGCAGAAGCTCATCCGCAAGGTGTCCACGTCGGGCCAGATCCGCCAGAAGGTGAGCCCGCGGCGGCGGCCCGGGCGCGCGCCCCTCACGCCGCGGCAGCCCCGTGAGGCCCGCGGCCCGGCCCGAGAGCCGCCCAGGCCCGACCCAGCCCGGCCCGCGGTCCCGCCGGGCGCCGCCGTCCGGGCGGAGTGCGCCCCACGGGGTAACGGGCCGGGCGCCCCGCCCCGCGCCGGGGCTGAGCGCGTCCTCCCGGCGGGGTGGCGGCGGGGACCCCGGGCCCGGGGCGCAGGTGGGCGCCGCGCGGGGCCGAGCGGGTGGGGCGGGGCGCCGGGGCCAGGGGCGCCCGCCGCCGGTGGGCCGCGAGGAAGCCCCGCGCTGCGAGGACCGGGAGGAAACTGAGGCCTAGAGGCGGGGGGCGAGCGCACCAGAAATGGGGGCTGCTGGCTGTGTCCCGCAAGCGCACGCTCCCCGAGCCCCGGCTTCTGCACGTTTCTGAGGACCGACCAGGTCATTTCCCGCTGGGTGCTCTGCAGACTCACCTATGGTCCCCTGGGAAATCCAGCTGGACCCGGGTGTGGGGGCTCTTCCTTGACTCGCGTGTGTTTTCGTGCCCTTAAGGGAAGGGATGCGCGTTCTATGACCGGCTCTCCCTCCCTCTGGGGAAAGCCGGGAGAGGGGGCTTTCCCTGGCTGCGCACCCGCTGGGCACCTAACTCTCGGCGGAGAACTCCAGACGCTAAATATTCGCAGCAGAAAGACGCATTTCCTTTCTGCGGGAGGAAAGTTGCGCCCTTTGTTTTCCCGTTGCGGTTCCCCTTGAAAACTGCTTATGGTTTTGGCTACAGGTGAGCCCTCTCTGTTAGAACACGGCTGCCTCAGGCAGGTGGCTGGACAGGTGGCTGAGGGCATGCTGGGTCTGTGGGCAGCCCCGGCAGATCCAGCTGGCACAGACTCTCATCCTGCTGCAGTGCGCTTTTCCTCTGGGGCCAGTTAGGTTCAGCTGGTACTTTCACCGTGGGAGCCATTTCTTGCTTTACCTTCTGTCAGCCTTTGATACTTTGGTGGGGGTAGTCTTTGGTCTGAACGTGTTAAAAACAAGTTTATTGTGAAGTGTTCCAGTTATCCAGCAAATAGGTATTGAACACCTCCTTTGTTGCAGGCATAACAGTAATAGTAATAATTGTAATGAGAGCAATTCTTCAGCGCTTACCAGGCAGTGTGCCAGGCACTTTTCTTGGGTTAAACTTTACAGCAGTCTACATGGGCTATAGCTCGTTTAGTACTAGCGAGAACCCATTGAGTTGGGTGTTAGCTATCATCCCCATCTTATGGGATTGGAAATCGAGGTAGAGAGGTGAAGTGACTTGCCCAGGGTGTCACAGGTAGTAAAGGTGGATCGGAATCTGAACCATGGTCAGGATCCCAAGACGTACAGTAGTAGGAGTCTGGCTCCTAGTCAGTGGGAGATGGACACCTGTGCATGTGACAGTATGACCTAGTAAGTGCTGTGAAAGCTCAGGGGACAGAGAATCCAGCTACCCTGGCAGGCAGGGAGGGGAGATCCTCTTTAAAACAGATCTTGAGGGAAAGGGGAAGGAAGCGCTTTCCACATAGTTGATGCATATTGAGACATACTGTATCTAAAGGTTTAGGCACACCTGGGAATGATCTGAAGGTGAGTGGGTCAGGTTGAGAGGAGTTAGGAAGAGGCTGGTAAGGTAGATTGGGCTGGATTTTAAAGGGTGAGCTGTGGAGTTGGGTTTTTGGCCTTGGGCAGGAGGGAGCTGCTGACAGTTATTCAGTGCATGGGAGTGACCAGTCAGATGTGCTTTTAGGAAGATCTCCAAGTAGCCCTAAATGATACTGTTAAGAGTTGCTCTCCCCTGTTGTTTGGTCCTGGAGCATGGTATGTGCCCAGTGTGGGGTAGATCATGTGATTTACAAGTGTGATTAAGATTAGATCTCTCAGAGATTCCAGTGTTTGTCCAGAATTCTGTTCTTTAGGAGGCGTTCCCCCCCTCAAAAACCCCAAACACAATAGCTGCTGTACCCACCAGCTGTTCTGGCTGAGGAGGAGTGATGGGTAGAGTGTTAAAAATACACCCTGAGGATCTGAGTTGCTGAGTACAGTCACATCTGCTGTACAAATAGCTTGAGGCAGATTTGTCTTTCGTGTTGTTAGAGATTGCCTGAGTGTGGGAAGTGTGAGGTTTTCTGTGTGCAGCAGCTCCCCCCATTTTTTAAAGCAGATAAGCCATTCAGAAAATTGCTCTGGTATATGTGGAGCCTAAGAGAAATATCCAAAATGGTACGGGGTATCATTCTGGGTCTAAACGGAAAAGCTGAAACCACTTGAAGTATTTAAAACAGATGGAATTTGGGGCCCCTGGGTGGCTCAGTCGGTTAAGTGTCTGACTTCAGCTTAGGTCATGATTCCAGGGTCCTGGGCTGGAGTGAGTCTCTGAGTCGGGCTCCCTGCTCAGTGGGGAGTCTGCTCCTTCTCCCTCTGCCCCTCGCCCCGCTTGTGCTGGTACATGCTCTCTCTCCTTCTCTCTCTCTCTCTCAAATTTAAAAAAAGAAATCTTTAAAACAGAGGGAATTTAATGTAGGGGAGTGGTCACACAGGTGATGAAGAACTGAGGATGCAGACAGTGGCTAGTGAAGCAACCCTGAGATGAGGCAACAAAAAGGAACCCACTGTCACCCCTGAGCTGGAGGACAGAGGGAGGAGGAGGCATTTGGGACCCCAGGAGCAACTCCCGCCTGCCAAGAGGCTGCCCTGGGCTGTCTGGTGGGCCCTGGTGCCTTCAGAGGGCGCAGCTGCTACTGGAGTCTCACCTCCATGCCCCTCTTGCTTGGGAAACCCAGCCTGTTGGGGATCAGCACCTCTGCAATTTGGAGTAGAGCAGAAGATCAAGGAATGGAACTGAGGGCAAGTTTTTGAAATACCAGTCCAGTGCAAGCTAAGAGCTGTCTTAAATGGAAAAAGAAATGTGCAGGCACATCCCCGGGGATCTTGTTAAAATGCAGATTTGGGTTGAGTAGGTCCGGGGTGGGGCCTGAGAGTCTACATTTTAATCAGCTCTCAGGAGATGGTGCTGCCGCTGCTGCTGGCCCATGGACCAGACTTTGAAAAACAAGTCCGTATGCCATACGTGTCAAGAGAAGCCTTCCCAAACCCCAAAGAAATCTTTAGTTTATGAGGTTCTCTTAAAACTTTTCCCCAAGTCTTTAGCAGTACGAAAACTTGATGAGTGGAGATTTGACATGGTCATTTAGTAGTTTAGCATTTCACACGTCTATTTTCCAAAGTTCCGACTGTGTCCAGCAAACACATTACTTCATTTGTATTTCCTCACCATAGCGTGCAATAACAACTCTGTAGGACCTCATAGTTAGAGTGGAAAAAGAAGATGGGGCTAATACACTGGTAGATTAATTCACTAGCACATTATAAAGTATTTTGAAATTTGAATAAAGAACAGTGTGATTCTGTGAAGCATTATCAGTTAAGATAGAGTGTAATCTAATTTCAGAGTTTTTTGTTTTTTTTTTTAAGATTTTATTTATTTGACAGAGAGAGACACAGCAAGAACGGGAACACAAGCAGGGGGAGTGGGAGAGGGAGAAGCAGGCTTCCTGCCTAGCAGAGAGCTCGATGTGGGGCTCGATCCCAGGACCCTGAGATCATGACCTGAGCCACCCAGACGCCCCTAATCTATTTCAAAGTTTTAAAAAAGTTTACACTTTTGGCTTTGTGCACAAAAGTGCTCATATTCCTGATTTCAAATTTAAACAAAGCATTTTTCCCATTGTGAAATGAAGACTAGCAGATATTAGGCAAAATGTTTAAGTTGTAAAAGACTTAAAAAAATAGCTTTATAAAGATATAATTCACATACCATGCAGTTAACTCCTTTAAAGTGTGTAGTTCAGTGGTTTTTAGTATATGCATAGTTGTGCAACCATCACCACAGTCAATTTTAGAATGTTTTCATCACCCCCAAAAGAAAGCCCATAACCATTAGCATCCGTTCCTCATTCCTTCTCAACTCTCTCAGCCTTAGACAACTGCTAATGTACTTTCTGTCTTGAGGATTTGCCGATTGTGGACATTTCACATACATAGCATCATGCAGTATGTGCCTTTTGTGTCTGGCTTCTTTCACTTAGCGTTAAGTGTTCAAAGTTCATCCATGTTGGAGTGTGAGCATTTGGGTTATTTCTACTTTTGGCTATTCTGGATGAGGCTGCTGTGAACATTCATGTGCATGTTTCTGTGTGGACATATGTATCATTTCTCTTGGGTGTCTACCTGGGAGTAGGTTTGCTGGGTCACATGGTAACTCTGTGCTTAACCTTTGAGAAACTGCCAGACTGTTTTCCAAAGTGGCTGCACCATTTTCCGTTCCCCCCAGCAGTGTGTGAGGGTCCCAGTTTCTCCATACCCTCAGTTATTACGTCTTTTTTTTTTTTTTTAAAGATTTTATTTATTTATTTATTTGAGAGCGCGAGAATGAGAGAGAGAGAAAGCACATGAGAGGGGGAAGGGTCAGAGGGAGAAGCACTCTCCCCGCCGAGCAGGGACTCCAATGCGGGACTCGATCCCGGGACTCCAGGATCATGACCTGAGCCGAAGGCAGTCGCTTAACCGACTGAGCCACCCAGGCGCCCAGTTATTACATCTTGATGATAGCCATTCTAGAGGGTGTGTAGTCTTATGAAAGGTTTTTAAAGCTCACGTGTGTATTTAAGAGCCTAAACTCTGGTGTTAAACGAAGTTGATTCACACCCTTCTCTCCCACTTACAAGACATGAGATATCGCGGACAGGTTCCTAGATCTCTCTTAAGACTTGGTTTCCTGATCTGAAACAGGGAAAATACCAGTTCCTGGGTTGGTGGTAGCGACAATAAATGAGCCTTGAGCCTCAGTTTCCATATCTGCAAAATAGAAAGGATAATAGGAGTTGTCAGATGCCTAAAATAGAAATGATGATGTTAAGTCATAGAAGTAAATGGGACAGTCTACGTACATTTAGCATAGGGCCTTG